GATAAGAAGGGGGGGGCAGGGAGATGCAAACATAGCAGGGTAAGAAGGAGGAGGAGGAAGAACAGGACAAGGGAAACCAGGAGATCAACGACGAGAGGAGTGATGAGGAAGGGAGATGAACAGGCCGGAAATGGGCCAAGAACGAGAACGAGCAGGCGCGGGAGATTACCTTGCGAATCCACTCAAACTCTCCATGCTTGGTGTCAAACGTTCCTTTCTGAATGCTCATGAGCTTCAGCGTAAACCGCGGTCCACATTCCTGCGCACGACGTAGTCACCGAGGTAAATTTGAGTAAACTGACGTAGTCACCGCAGTAAATACGCAAATACACCATCGTCCTCCATTGTTTCTTTTTTTTCGAAAAGAGGAGGAAATCTCGGACGATTTTTCTCAGTTTACGTGGGTGTCGTACTAGAATGCGCACGGCCCACGCTAAATTTGCTAATCTACCCTTCTTCTCTGTATCGTTCCACTTTTAACGGATGTCCCGAAGGACCTCCTCCTCCCCCCCCTTTCCCCCCCATCTCCCAACTTCACACACACGGAGGACAGACCAAGTAAAGCATCAACTGACCACACAGTGCCACACACTGAGGGCGTACTCACACTAGCAGTTTCTCAAATGTATCTGACCTCATTCACGCCATACCTGGATGAATCTGGCCACAGTTCCGTCCAAAAATACGCAAAAACGTCGTAGTGTGAGTATGCCCTGAATTGAGTACACAACCAGCAGCACATCCCTGGAACACTCAGTCACACCCACGTGAACTGAGCGCTCACACATGTCGAAACGAGCACGCTCAAGACACAAACTCAACAAAAACTGAGCACACTCAAGACACAAACTCAGTCACACACATCGAAAAGAGCACATTCAAGACACAAGTGAGGTTGATCAAGCACACATATATAAGAGCACAAACTCGTTACGCACTTGGCACACACGCTGAGCACACACTGAGCACGGCCCTCCAACTCCACACTCAGACGTAAAAGAGCAACAGCTCAACAAAAACTGAGCACGCACAACACACACATCGAACCAAAACCGTCGAACTGAGCGCTCACACATGTCAACGAGCGCACACACATGGCAACAACTGAGCGTGCACAGAACACACACATGGAGCCATATACATCGCATGAACTGAGCGTGCACAGAGCACACGCATGGAGCCATATACATCGCATGAACTGACGGACACACATCAAACCGAGCACACACATGAAAAAAAGAGCACAAACTTAACAAAAACTGGCCACACCCATGAGCAAAGCACGAACTGAGCACGAACTGGGCACACACCCATCATGAACAAAGCACAAAATGAGCACGAACTAAGCACCAAGTGAGCACGACAAGTTCGTACACGGACGACACACGGACTGAGCACGCAATCAGCGGGGACGGAGCAAGGACCGAGCACACTGAGGACAAGCCTGAAACCGAGCATGAACTGAGCACACACGCTGAACTGAGTATACGCATGGGACTCAGTAGCTAAGAACGACTTTGGAACAGGATGACGAAGGCGAACAGAACAGTACGGAAAGGAAATCACAAAGTAGTCAAAGCCGAAGGCTTGACTTTAGTGAGTCCACGGAATAAGAGACATTGGATCTCGCTCTCAACCAGTGCTGGGCCGGCAACCGGCCGGTTGAGCTACCCCGGTCCAACTGGAGCCGGACCAGACCAGGGGGGGTGAACCGGGAAACCGGTTTTGAAAAAAAGGTGCCCAAATATCTTTTTTTTTTTTTTTTTTTGGGCAGATTCTGACTGCGCTCTTCAAGAGCTGTCCGAATCCGCAATAAAATTTTTAAGGTACAACATTTTTCAGGGGGCTTCCAGAGGGGGGCAGGGGGTTATCATTGACATATTCAGGCAACTACGGCTTCCTCAGGGAGGGGTCAAGTAAGCAAGTTCACTTATCCGACCCCCCCGTCGCTGGAGCACTTCGTGGAGTATGTCATTTGATATTGATACCCCACGAGCTGAACCAGATATGATGAGAGGAGGTCCTTGCCCGAAATTATAGCTCTTCCAGAGTATATTTCGACAGCAGAAAAGTTATGGTTCCAGCTTTCTGCTCGTGGAGGCAGAGCGTTTTCCGTTTGTTGGTTCCTACATAAGRTGAGTTGTCAGTCCRGAAGTATCTTGYCTGGCAGTCTGTCCAGATACATGTAGTGGAGCAAGGTCCATTCSAGATAGATAGAGAGAAGAATATGGGCCTCGCTGCACTACTCTCGAAATGTGCAAAACGAGAGTGARTCTTCCGCTAGAAKTCGGAAAGATRCACCGCCAATATTTTTGTCTTTTGTGCATGTCGAGAGTAGTGCAGCAACGCCCTATATTTTAGGTCCATTCTTGGGATTGCACCTCGGACGGCTCTGAAATCACGATTCCAAAATCCGAACCCATAAGTTTTTCCACAGATGGCAGGGACGTCGCAGAAGGATATAATCTCAGCAGAGTCTCATCAGAAGCATAGTGTTCCCCTCGTGGCTGAGGGTGAAAGAGCATCAGATGTTGCCAATGGTAACTGGTCCATTGGACCACAAGATGACAAATTGGATTAGGGGCCTACCCGACCCACATCTTAGGAAAAACGCATGGCTGTTCTCCGCTGCTGATCTGCATAGATCAGCGGCGGATATCCTCTGCACGTTTTTCTTATAGAAATGGGGTCCTGGCCGACCTTTGCCGCTGATCTGCGACGATCGGCGGCCAAGATTGGCCACTTTCTGTACTTGAAAAATCCGGGCCTACAGGATCCGGTTTAGAAATTGCGGGGCAGGGCCGGCCCCCATGAGGCCTTGGGAACACATACGCGCCGACAAAAAAAAAATTCAGCCCCCAGCGAAAATGCGCTGGGGGCAACCGGGAGGGAACCAGCCCGGGCCACCGGCCGGTCCAACCGGAAGGACCGCGGATGGGGTAGGGGTCCCCGGTCCATCCGGGGACCAGCCCTGCTCTCAACTAATTATGTACTAGAAAAAAGAGCTTCTGTTTTTCGTCTTGGGACATGGGAGAGCCTCTATTCTAGCAAGTTTGACTTAGAACAGATGCAGGAATGCAAGAGCAAAAAAAGGTGAGAACAAAAAAAATGACAAAGGACTTGTAAGAAGTACTCCCCCTCCCTCAAGGAAGAGAAGAAGATCAGTTCCAAACTTCAAGCACCTAAAGTTCAAACTTTAAAGCACAGAATCAGAAATAACGCTGGCAGATTAAAGAAATACAGTTAAAACGAGAGAGAGAGAGAGAAAGAGAGAGAGAGAGAGAG